TTTAAAGTACGCAAATACACATGGTGACCAATGCACCAGTAAAACAAAGAAACTTAACAAGAACAAAAATATTCTCATGGCATACCAGGTAAGTTTTGTGCAGCTGAAGAAGAGACCTTGACAGGTTCTTTTCAAGCCAGGGAAAGAACTGTGAAAAGTGATTTTTCTAACTAAACCTTTCCAGGAAAAAAAAAAGGTTTTGTGCAAGTCGTTCATTACTAGACTTGTCGCAATAAACAATAAATCAATGAATCGCAAGATAAATGAAAATTGACCGCATTTTCATTTATCGTCGTTATCGTTTTTTCATGTCTCTACTGAAGACGCTGGATGACAAAAAACAGATATTGTTATGACGCATAAAAACGGTTTACGAGGCCGGTATAGGTTACGGGTCTTGTTAAAAAAATAAAATAAAATAAACCCCGATATTGCTGTCATGTTGAAGTAGAGTCTTCTATTTTTGATTTAATTTATTTAACTTGTTGAATGAAAAATAAGCCACTTCATTTGGCGCCCAAAGTGGGACCATGAAAGAAATGGGTTTTTATACGACCTTGTTTTAACGTCTCACAGGATCCCGTACTTTGAGACCAGCGCAGCCACTGGAGCTGAGGTGGACAAGGCAGTGATAACGCTGTTGGACCTGGTCATGAAGAGGATGGAGCAGTGTGTCGACAAACCGCCCGCAGAGTCAGCCAATGGAAATGGAGCTACGAAGCTGGCGGAGACACAGCCCAACGAGAAGAAATGTGCATGTTGAGTAAAAGCAGGAGGGAAGTCTCTGTCCCCCGTCTGTTTTTTAGTTCTGTTCGTTTGGGTTGCATGTATCTGCTCTCCACTCCCTTAAAAAACACGAGCCATTTTCTCTTTCCTCTTTCATTTCTTCCCGTCTGCCTCTCTGATGGAGGAACAACTCTGCCTCCCTCTAGTGGACATTGCAGGTACAGCAGCCTGTCAGCCTTCAGGAGGGGACAGCGTCCTCGCTGTCAGACACATAACGTGCCTCGTTAAAAACATGCAGCCTGGAAATTAAACTCTGCACGCTCTTTGGTTTTCAATTTTCTATTCGTAATTCCCTGCATTCAAACTTTAATTCAAGCTTTTTTTTCCTTCACATCAGGGAAAAAGTTCTGAGAGTTTAATATCAGGCTGTATGTCTGAGTAAATTCAGTCTTAAAGCGTCCTCCAGGATCACGCTGACGATTATCGGGACCAAAGTTTTATTTTCTTTGGTCCTCTGCATCTTGAGCTGGACCTGTATTAGCCTCATGTTGTTGTTTTGTCACTTATAAGTAAAGTTTTGTTGACGTTTGCTGAACATGTGCCAAATGTTTTTCTATCCTGGTTGTGGCGTCTCGCACCGCAGCTGTTTTTAAAAAGTAAACCGACGTCGGAGTCAGTTTTGCAGATCGTTGGCGTTTGTGGCTCGCTTTACTCGCTAACTTACGTAAACATCTGTAACATCAGTTTGAAGTCAGCCATCGGCATTTACATTTTATCGAGTATTTAAAATAAGAAAGTTCAGTCCTTTATAAATGGTGTTTTATGGGTAAGGTTATGAACCTTTCTTGCTATACAGTACTTGTTGTTGAAACTTTTGGAAACAACCTCAGTTTAAGAACGTCGTTAAATTCTGACCGGACCGAGAAGCTAACGGCTAATCGGAGCGAGGCCAGGAGCGAAGTGGAGTGCTGCCATCTTCAAAGAACTTCCATCTCTAACATTTCTTAGCTGCTCATGCAAACATTATTTATGAACCTTTGCATCCGAAGTATAAATGTTTTTAAAACATGCCAGAACGTGAGCTATAGCTGCTGCTATTTACGCTTTCAAAGAATCACCGTATTCTTCGTAAACGCGTAGTTCATAGTTGACTGGTGTCAAAGGTTATGAAACAGTTTGTGTGAACCACAGTCACAGTTTTTAATTTTTAAAAGTCGACACCAATCTTTTGTTTAGGACTAGCCTTAGCTCTCCAAACAGATGTTTCTCTAAGTAGAAGTGCACAAATTATCCAAAATGCAACTGAATGTTTAGCTATCCAACTGGCAAAAAATGTAAACTGATGAAAACTGACTGCCATAATGAAAGTTTATTTAAATTGACCGTAATTTCCAGACTATTGAGCACACCAGAATAGAAGTCATGCCCACTGAATAAATAATAATAATTTTGTACATCTAGGCCGCGCTCGTCTATAAACAGCAGTCGTCCACATTGTAACATGAGATTTTTCACAAAAACATTTTTTCAACTCGTATTTAAATATGTTCCAGTAACATACATAAACACGTACGGTAATTTTTTTCCTGAATCCCCCTCACGATGACGGGGATTCTCCCCTCCCCGTTTCATTGGTTCGTCTGTGACCTGTTTGGTAATTTCATTGGTCAGATTTTTTAACTTTTATTTATACATGTAGTCTCATTGAGTAAGGAGGACCCATCCCCCAGATAAACGTGTGTTGGGCAGCTATGTGAGCGCCCGAGTGTGACGAGGCTAAATGTTGTGGTGGCAGGAAGCTCGTTAGTCTGTCAGAAAATAAATTGAAAAAATCCATAAATTAGCCGCAGCATTGTATAAGCCGCAGGGTTCAAAGCGTTTGAAAAAAGTAGCGGCTTATAGTCTGGAAATTACGGTAATTTTATTGTGTAGCATGAGTACCCTGCCGTTATCCCTGCAGCTGCTAGCAGGATGCTATGTTAGCTAATCAGCTAATAAGGATTTAAATTAAGGATGCACAATATTATCGGCATGGTATCGATATCAGCCGATATTAGTGATAAAGTTAAATATCGGCCACTCCACCAAAATAATTCAGATATAAAGCACTGTAATATATATATGGCACTGTTTTTGTATGACAGCCCAGTGACATGGATGTCTGCAGCGCCAGCACAACGTTATGACGTCATGTGTGCCCTTGAGTGTAGATTTGTGAAAATTGACAAATTTCGGACAATATCGGTATCGGTATTAATTATTGGCCAAACAAGTTTTAACACATCGACATATCAGCCAAAAATCCAATATCGTGCATCCTTAGTTTAAATGTTTTAACTGGGATAAACTTTTACTTGTTACACAGACTGTTGTGCAGCATGGAAAACGTTAACTTTTTTAATAACTGGTAATCTGTATACTAATTTACCGAATCTAGCATCGGTGCTTATCACTTATCATTTTACTTTGTTAGCTAAATGCTACAAATAGTTAATTCAGCCTTAATTTATACAAATTGGTCTCATTGAACCTCGAGGACTCGATGACGCAGTGGACAATCATAAAAGAAAACGTACAAATTGGGGAAGAAGAAAGAAAATATTTAAAAAAGAAAGAAAATATTTAAAAAATAAAGAGAAACAGCTGGATTATAAGACTTTAGAAAACTAAAAACAGGAACTTAACAGATGTTTGGAGCCACTTAGAGAGGTCAGATCTTCAGATGTTTTTACAAGATCTTCCAGGAAACAGGAGCGGAGTAGGAGAAGGTCCTTTTGTCTAGTTCAGTCCTCATTGAGGGAACACTGCAGGTAATGATGTCCTGAGAGCGCACGCTGTAGCTGCACTCACACAGAGACATGTAGGAGGAGATGTATGAAGGCAGCAGACCAAGAAGTGATTTAAAGATGAAGCTTTGGTGATGTTTTACGATGTTGGACAAATCAAAGATAAAATGTTAATTTAAATTTTATTTGAACAGCAGGTAAAATCTTTAAAGCCTGATTAGCTAATGTAGCGTCAGCAGCTGCAGTACTGATACAAACAATGTCTGGAAAGATTCAACCTTCAATTATTCTAATATTTTATCTTGTTTAACAGTCAAGCAAAATAAAATGCTTAAATACTTTACAAAACTGATGAGTAAATTTTAGCATTGTTGCTCAGCAGCAGTTTGTTTTTAAGGCTGCTAGCACGATGCTAACATGGGGTAGCGGTGGTCAGCATGCGATGCTAACAAACCAGTAGCTTTGTGTTTGATTACTCATAATTTTCAAATCAGAATAGATCTTCAGGTTTCTCTCGAGTTAGGTCGTCTGCCATTTTTATTCCATAGCATTAGCACGCTAAGCTAACATAGCCTAGCCTTTGTTGTGTTTATTAAAAGAATAAACGGGTAATTTGTTAGAACGGGCCGTGTTTGGTACCTCGTGCGCTTTAAGTAAAGTTACTGTGCATTTTAAAAGTGTTCAAGCCCAACTGCGCTTAAAACGCACACGTGTATAAATTAGCTTAAAGTTAGCGAGCTACGTTTGGGTAAACTTGGCAACCCTTTAAAATCTGTACTTTGATCCAAGTCTGCCCAGTTTGTGGTCGCTGGATTTACTGGAGATGGTCTGGACGTTCTAGGTCTGAGTCAGAACTTTGGTGTTGACCCAAAGCGATTCTTCGTTGTGTGATCTGGTCTGTTCGTAAAGTGTCAGTTTGTCGTGGGGGCACATTCTCTGTTGGACTGGACTCATGATTCTACCACCCCCGTGCTTCACCGTCAGTTTTCCTGGGACATCTGACGCCCGACAGCCAAAACGTCCGTCACAGGAAAGGTTTGGCTTTTCACGAGTCGTGAGTTTAGTTTCAAGTGATTCGTCTTCAAGAACCGTTTGTTGAATTCACTGAAGTGAATTCCAAGTGATCCACTTTGAAAAAACAGGAAATCTGTTCCCGTGTTTCTGCGTTTACATGAACGACCGAGGCCTTTTAATTCTGACAATCCTCGGAGGAGATTTGTAGATTTAGTTTCATTGTTCATCTTTAAATCTGCAAGTTTGTGGAGAATTGTAGATTATTTATTTTAGCTCTGAACTCGACAGGCTGTTCCTGATCCGTCTGATCTGTCAACGTTGTGAGCTGCTGGATGTTGAAATTCAAACATGGATTACCAAACCAAGAATCCTGGTGGTGGTTCTGTGCCAGATGTATCGGACCTCTGAGCTTTTATTTTTGTGTGAACTCTTCCTGATGCCTGCAGTTTGTACGTGTTCGCTCGTTTTTCTCCTTTCTATGGACGCCTGTTTGTAAGAGCATGTTCGAAACAAGAATGAAACGTGATGCGTTCAGTGTCTCAACAAGAATGAAACGTGATGCGTTCAGTGTATCTGATGCCACAGCTGCAAATAAATCTGTTGGTTTTAGCCTCGTGTTGTTCTTGTCTTCAGAAGATCGACAGCTTGTGTTGTGAAGTCCGGCTGTGATCGTGTTGAACGCCTCATCGTCCGTCTGTCCATCATCTTCATCTTCTGCTTGCACCATTAGTGACTCGTGCACATCTTAGATCTTTTAGCGTGCAGTTTGGTGTTCCTTTAGTTTATATCTTAGTTCCTTATTTACTGTTTCTTTTTACACTTTGTTTTTCCTTTTGTTGGATGTAACTGGGACCCTGTGTGCACAATTTAGTTCCACATGTGATGCGAATAACGATGAAGAACCTTGACCCTTGATCTGGACTCAGGTCTTGGGGGCAGCATCTTGAGCAGGGAGGTCCAGACCTCTCTCTCCACAGCCTCTTCCAGTTCTTCTGGGAGGACTCCAAGATGTTCCCAGGACAACTGAGAGACAGTCTCTCCAGTGTGTCCTGGGTCTTCTCCAGGGTTTCCTCCCAGTCGGACATTCTCCAAGCACCTCCGTATGGAGGCGCCCAGGGTCCATCCTTACTAGATGCTGAACTATCACAACTGTCTCCTCTGGATGTGGAGGAGCAGTGGTTCTCCTCTGAGTCTCTCCTGATAACTGAACTTCTCACCCTGTCTCTGAGGGAGAGTCCAGCTCTGCAGAGGAAACTCATTTCAACCTCCTGGATCCACGATCTCATTCTTTCAGTCTCTACAGAGTTCATGACCAGAGGTGAGGGGAGGAACGTAGACCGACCAGTAAACAGTGAGCTTTGTCTTACAGCTCAGCTCCCTCTTCACCACAACGGACCGGCACAGAGTCCACAATACTGCAGATGCTGCATTAATCTCAATCTCACGCTCCATTCTTCACTCAGTCGTGAACAAAACCCTGAGATACTTGAACTCCTGCACTTGAGGCAGAACCTCACCCTCGACCTGAAGAGAACAATCTACCTTCTGTCTAAGGACCACGGCCTCAGATTTGAAGGTGCTGATTCTCATCTCAGCCGCTTCACACTCAGCTGTGAACCGCTCCAGTGAGATTTGAAGATCACAGCATGATGACACCAACAGGACCACATCATCTGCAAAGATCAGAGCTAGAATCCTGAGGCCACAGAACTGGACTCCCTCCACCCCCTGGCTGCACTGAGAAGTTCTATCCATAAAAATTTTGAACAGAATCTGTGACAACAAGCAGAGCTGGCAGAGTCCAACTCCCTCCCTGAAGGGTCCAACACTACCGGCAATGAGAACCAAACTCTGGCACCGCTTGTACAGGGACTGAACAGCCTGTAACAACCTGTCCCATCCTCACCCCCCTCAGTGAACCCCGAGGAACACGGTCGAATGACTTCTCCAAGTCCACAACACACATGTAGACTGGACGGGCAAACTTCCATGACCCCTAGAGGACCCTAGTGAGGGTAAAGAGCTGATCGATTGTTCCTCCTGGATCTGAGGTTTGACTCTTCCCAGTACAGTAGTCGCTACTATTCCGTTCTTTTTTTGCGGACTCGCTCTGTTGCAGGTTTTTTTAAAGTACATCTACATACTTTATTTATTTTTTAAGGGCCGCCATTTTGTAGTTTTCTTTCATTAAAACCTTCACGGTTTTGCCAGTCTAAAGAACTACATTACCCAGAAGCCATCAGTTCACTTCCCGGAAGTCAACACTGCTCCAACCGCTGCTTTCTGCAAATGGAGGGAAAGTTTTGTAGGAAAGTCAGAAGTTCTGTTGCTCACAGAACCGGTAGGAAGGTCCAAATAATCCTGAAGTTGAACTCAACCTTCAAGTTGCATCTTCACTGCTGAGCAGCTGGACTACAGCTGATCTGGACTACAGCTGATCTGGACTACAGCTGATCTGGACTACAGCTGATCTGGACTACAGCTGATCCAGAATCAGTGTGACCCGGATCCTGGGAGCTGCAGACTGCAGGGTTCAATCGGGTTCTGGTCTCGCAGTGCTGGAGCGGTGGGCTTCAGTCATGCTGTACCGGGACTTTTTTCATCTATCGGGTCGGACCGGAACCGAGTCGCTCCTGTACTGCAGAGCCTGCAAGTAAAATGTTGTAGCTCCTGTACGTACAAGTACTGGATGTTGTTCAAATGAGTAGTTTAAGAGTTCAGAGGACTGCGTGTGGCTTCACCGCTGCAGAAACTAACAGTCGGACCGGAACCAGAACTGTTGATGTTCTGCAGAGCTAGTAAGTAAAATTTAGTGACAACATTAAAACAACGGAGGTTTAAGAGCTTAGAACATTCTAAAGTTTTAATATAAAGTTTAATGTATTTGAACTTGGACTGTAGCTCTGAACAGACCTTTCAGGACTGACGCCCCTCGAACTGGATCGCACCCTGCAGTCCCACTCCACCCAGTCCGACCCCGATCGTCCACCCAGTCCGACCCCGATCGTCCACCCAGTCCGACCCCGATCGTCCAGAGCCTTTAGGAAACTGTCGTCGTCTGAAGTTGTTCAACAGCACGACTTTGTTCTGGATCGTCTTCATGAAGGAACAATAAAAACCCAGTGAGTGAAACGTTTTACCAGTTTCATTTAATTCCAGGAAGTTAAACGTGAACATACATCGTGTGTTAGCTTTAACATCATTTTACTGAAAAAAGATGTTTTAAAAGTTAAAAACGTGGAGAAAAAGCAGCAAATGTAAACAGACTGAAGTTAACTGAGCTTCCTGTCAGCTGAAGATCAAACCGAAATATTTACAGAATAAAACGAGGATTTGTTGAACGTGACCTTTAGTTTCTGGAACCCTGAAGCAGCAGCTCTTCCACAGTTTGACCCGACAGAAGGTTTTTATTCTAGAAATCCAACATGTTAAAATCACGGAAACGACACGTATAAATAAACTGGAAGTGACGTTTGAAACTTTTTAAATCTCTTCTTAAAGATTCCCAGAGTGAACCAACAGCTACTATTAGTTTAACGACCCTGTAATACGACCAAAATACTGTAAAACTCTTAAAACGTTAAAAACGAAGCTGCAGTTCGTTAACGCGACGCAGTTCACCAACGTTTCTTTATTCAGGACGCTGAAAACCCAAAACAAGCCTGAAGCCCCACGGAGGAAGAACCAAACAGGAAGTGGTCTTTTCCTTCGTGTCGACCTGAACGAGTCCAGAACGGAAACCCAGAGAGGATCTGGACCTGGTCCTCTGCTCAGCTCTTTCTTCACCACAGCCAACAGGAGCAACAGCCTCATTACTGAGGAGAAAGCTCAAAGAATATATTTGAATCCTTCACAGTAAAAGCCTGGCTGCGGTTCAGACATTTAAAGGCTCTTATTGTGAAGGATTAAAGTTAGTTCCTGTACATCGAGAGGAAAAAATTGATTCAACTAAATTTCATGTTTCAGGAAAAGCTCCGACCCCCAGACGGTGACAAACTTCCTGGTGTCGCCTGGCGTTCCTCTCGGCGGCGAGCTGTATTTACATGTTTCCCCTCCAGGTTTAAACTTTGGTGACGGTGTTCGATTGTTCCTGCGGCTCATCTTCATCATCGTCTTCGTCGCCGCTCAGGTCCAAGCGCAGGTTGTCCAGAGTCTGACGGATCGTCAGGTTCTCCTTCCTCCTGTCGGACACACGAGGAACCATCAGAACCAGTTGCGACCAGTTACAGTGTCGCCCTGCTCCTGGGACATAATGTCAGCGACTGATTCAAGATGGCCGCCACACCAAAAGTCTATCTGGGTTTTACGGTGTTTGTGTGGTAGTAGTTGAGAGTTCTGGCTCCTCCAGGAAGAGAACCTGATGGATGCTCGTCACTCAGCGACCACCACCCAAACACCGTCCGTAAGAAGATCCGACTCTGGAGCCAGCCTTCAGGAGATATTTTGCTAACAGGGTCGTACTTGGTCTGCAGGTGCTGGTCCAGCAGCTGCCTCTGCAGCCGGCTGCTCGTCTCCCGCTCCTCAGCCAGCTCCCTCTGGGTGTGACGGCACTGCGCCTCCTTCCTGCTCGCCTCCTCCTCGGCTTCGTTCAACTGCCGCTTCAGAGAGCGGATCCTCTGGGTCATCTGAGGTCAAAGGTCAGAGAGAAAGGGTCATAGGTCAGTCGCAGAAGTTAGAGACTCGGATATCAAACATGCATCAATCAGATAAAGGTCAGAGTCGCGAGGGTTCCTTCTGATTGCGACCCGATCACCTGGGTGGACCGACCTGGACCTGGTCTAGATCAGTTCTGGTTGCAGGATTCATTGAGGACAGAAATAAAGATGTGTGTTTGGTTCTGGTACCAGTTCTTTCTGCTCGGTGGCGATGCGGTGCTCCTCCTCCATCTGGTCACTGAGCTCGTTGATCCGGCGCTCCAGTTTGCTGACAGAGTTCACCAGACCCGACTTGTTCCTGAGCAGAACAGAACCGCCTGGATTAAAACCTCATCAGGTCCAGATGACAGATTATAAATCCAGAGGGAAACCGGGTCCGGTCCCACCTCTCCTCGGTCCTCAGGGCGGTCTCCAGCTCTTTGACCCGACTCTCGGCTCGGGAGACGACGTCCTCCTGCAGCCTGGAGCTCTGCAGCTCCTCCACCTCCACACGCAGCTCCCGCAGCTGAGCAGACAAAACTTTATTTAGAAAACACTTGACGACGACAAAACTTTCAAATTAAAAGATTTCAAACTCAAACGTTCAGGGTTCTGTTTTTTTATTTTTTATAAAAAACGACTTCTGTTTCAAATGGTCCAGAACCAGAACCTGGGTCCTTAAGAGACCCTCAGACATCTTTCTCTAATTGTGGGTTCTGCTGAAGTGGATCTGTAACTGGGTCACCTGTCTCTCCATGACGGCCTTCTCCGTCTCCAGCTGGTCGCTCAGATCTTTCTCCTGGATCAGTTTCAGCTGCAGCTGTTCGGTCTGAGAACATCAAGACGTGTCAGAAACCAAGAAAACGGGTCGGAACAGAATCACTTCCTGGTTCTGGTGGGTCTACCTGCTCGATGGCCCTCTTCTGCTTGGCCGCCCATCTCTGCTCGCTCTCGTGGAAGTCCTCCAGCTCAGTCTCCAAGTCGATCAGCTTCTCCTGGTCAGGGAGACAGATTCATTGATCCAAACGTCTGTGAGGAGTTTTCAGGATGAACATCGGACCAGACGGATTATTCTACACGTCCACCAGAACCAGGACCGGCTCGAGTGGACGAACTCACAAACAACAGTTCACTTCAGAGAGAAAACGTGAAGATCGAGACCTGAACCAGAGTTTCTGTTAAATACAGACGAGTGTGAAGCTGATAAACCACCAGAGGTCCATCAGTGGGTCAAAGGAGACCTCAGACCTCCAGGAGAGTCCAGGAAGTTGAGCAGATAATGCTGTTAGATGTTTTTCTCTGGGGACCAGCTGACCTGAGCCAGTTTGAGCTGCTTGGCGAGGTCGTCCTTGGCCTGGTTCGTGTTCTGCAGCTCCATGGTGAGATCATCCACGGTCCTCTCCGCCTGCCTGCACTGCAGCTGCAGACGCTCCCTCAGCTGGATCTCCTCCTCCAGGGTCCGCTCCTTATCAATCAGCTTCCCTGAGACCTGCAGACACAAACCCCACAAAGATCCTGAGGCCGTCCACGTTGGGTTCCTGAGCCAAGGCTCGGGGTGGAAACCCACCTCTCCTTGCAGTTTGGTGACGAGAACCTGCAGCTTCTGAACCTCCTGATCCTTCTCCAGAATAGTCTCCTCCAGCTCCTCCATCCTGATCTGGTCGTCCTCTCGCAGCTTCTGCTGCAGGCTCAGCTCTGCTGCGGCCTGGGTGGACGCCTGCAGGGCCTCGCTCAGCTGAAAACACAAGAGTCTCAGGTCAGAAGCTCACATCCACCACAGACACCAAGATGAACGTCTCTCGGTGCACCTCTGTCTCCAGCCTCAGGACGGTGTTGTTCAGCTCAGACGTCTTCTTGTCTCGAGTCTCTTTGTCCACCTCCAGGTCCTCCACCTTCCTCTCTGCCAACCACAGCTTCTCAGCCAGAGTCTGGGTGTGCTGCGTCTGCTTCTCCAGGTTCTCCTGAACAAACGGTCAGAGAAGAGGAGTCAAGAACCCGTGTCTCCTTTCAATGGATGGTCTTCACTGACAGCGAGGTCCAATGAAAGATATCCATCATTGATTATTGGGACCAGAGATGGAACTCTGAACCATCTCAGCTCCTGTACCCCTGGTCCTACCTCAGCGTCCTGGATCTTGTTTTTCAGCGACTGCTGCAGGAAGTTGAAGGCGTACTCCTGGGTGTTGGCCTCCACCATCATTTCTCGAGCTTCTTTCACCTCGAACTGAGCAACAGAACCAAAAATGAGCCGAGCAGAAGTTTCAGGATCACTGGGTCGGTCTGCGCCACTCACCTCCATCTCCCGGAGACTCTCTCTCAGGGACTGGTTGTCGCTCTCCAGCTCCAAGATCTGCTCCCTGGTCCTCTTCAGCTCGTTGTTCATCTGAGTGTTGGTCCTCAGCAGGTCCTCGTTGTTCACCAGCAGGGCGCGCATCTCAAACCTGCACCGAAGACAACCGGGTCGTTACCTGACCAGTTACAGAACCATTACCAGATCATTATAAACCATTACTGGACTCTTACTGGAACATTACCAAACCATCACTGGACTCTCACTGGAACATTACC